GGGTGGGTGTGGGTGTGGGTGTGGGTGTGGGTATGGGAGTGGGTATGGGTGTGTGGGTGTGGGTGTGTGGGTGTGGGTGTGGGTTTGGGTGAGGGTGAGAGTGTAGCTGTCACTGTGGCGATTGTGCCAATAATGCATGGACATCCGTTATTGTTCACATATCTACATTTCCATTTTTCTTTTGATTATCCTCTGGGTCTGTCGTACAGAAAGGAGGAATACTTTTAATGAGTGTTATGCAATATTTCATTCTCAATGACTGTTGTATAACCTACGACTATCGTCAATCTATCTGGTCTTCTTCTAAAGGTTATCCATATATCTTTGCGCAACATGATGACGTCTTTAAACATAATCAGTGCAATGCGGATATGCCTATCATATCTTTTTCTGTTCTCATCTCTCTCTTGTGTGCGCGTATATAAAGCGTGTGCTTTGTGTTGTACAGTAGAACTGGAACGATTGTAGAACTGGAAAAGTGTAGAACGTTAACATCATGTACACCGAGGATAGCGGTAACGCTACCCTTCCAGTTTCTCTTTGTGATCACAAATAAAATAAAGGCTGCAGCAGTAACAAATTAACTGTCCATCATTATAACATCCATGTATATTAAAATAATTCGTTACAGCGATGGCGGTGGTCGTGGCGGCAGCTGTGGCTGTGGCAGTACGACGTCGCCTTGAGTGTGGACGTGTGGATGTGGGTGCTTGTGAAAAGAAAACTCACATCCACATCCACACCCTCTTAGATCTGGATACCTGATCGTGGATTTCGGGAGAGTTCCAAGAGGGCGCCAATCAGTTCTGTATTGAATCCGATAGGATTCAACTATCGAATTTAATCACCTGGACATCTGTATCTTTGATTCAAAGGCGACAAAAATTCAAGGACTCGGCTTCGAGTTTTTTTCATAGATTCTTACACTGTCAAACTTTTTTGCTTCATCGTCACTCTCAATATACGATCATTTAGGTGCCACAATATTCAATGCGAGATAAAATATGTTCTTGACGAATATTTGTGCATAAGACTTGCGAGAAATAGCGATTATTATAGTTTTATTCAATCAAATATTTTGAAAAAAAGCGAAAAGATTGATCCGGAGTAATAGTTATGCAGAAAGGTTCTCAGCAACAATAGTGTTATTGGATTACTGTTTTAATTATGAAATTCGATTATCGATACCTAAAGAATCCGCTAACTTTCCAAGAGCGACCACCAAAAAAAATTGTTGTAATTGGGTAGCTTCTTCAAGAGTTATCGCATGCGGTATTTTTTGTATTGATTCATACGTGCTGGACCACAGACCTCCTAATATGCTGAACTTTTCAGTAATCACCTCAAGATCGGGAGCCAATTTCCAATTAGCATCAATATCTACAATGACAAAAGAAGTTGTTTTTTTGATACTGTTACTACTTTTCAAGAATAGCTGGAAAGTATATTGTCCATTGCTATTCGGGTCGTGAAGAAACGTAATTGGTTGCCAAACACTATTAGACGAATGTTTGAGGGCGAACTGTAAAAGATGTCGGTTTGATAAATTGTAATCCAAAACAACTGCTTTGACAAATTTACGTAGGAGACGATTTGGTATGTCGAGTACCTTCAAAACCGTTGATCTTTGACGAAAATAATCGAAACCATATTGAGTCACTTTTTTAATGGTGTGCGATGAGCTTGACTTCAGCATGTCGAGAACCTGCTTAGCCACACCTAGGACATCTGAAAGTGAGCGAGATAAACTTTTGTCTGAGTTTGAAGTCTCGTCAGAAGTCTTTGCAGAGCTTCTACGATTTCTCCTTGGTAGGATTCCTTCCGTATTAAAATAGGACAACATGCTAAATCGCTGTGGAACCAATAAGCTTGCTGCATGGAAACGTAACATATTTAATATGGTTTTTGTTGTCTTGTGGTGCCATGGTGCGACTAATACTCGTAGACGTTCGTTCGAAAACTTACCCTTACTAGTTAATGTTGATGTGCGTATAATATTCAGCTGTTTTTTGTGATCATCATCATTTAAAACAGCAAGATCTTGGGTATTATCAACAAGTAGTGTTTCAATTAAAGGTTCGGATGTTATATTCACGAATACGTAATTGATTGTAAATGTCGAGTTATCGATCGATTCTCCAAGTAACCAAATGTATCTAATGGTTAAATGATTGTTTGTGGCACTTGGTTCGGATGTATATAAGTTTTCGTATGATAATTGTGATGAGTTTTGTTCTTGCGAATAGGGCGGTTTGAAATAAATTTCATCAAATTCATAATCTTTGGCTAATGCCGTCAATAACATTGGCAAATTTTCTCTTTCAACATTGTTAATTTTCATTGTTTGGCTCGATAATCTCAGTGAAGCAAGATTTGTTTGAATTGCTGTTATGGTCGAATCATTGTAGAATGCTAATAATTCTGCTTTCACTGTTTTTCTTGATATAAATTTTCTTACAGCTTCCGTTAAATTGATGCCGTGATTATTGTTCTTTGTGATAGTATGTTTACCATAAAACAGACTACATACGAAAGATAGATTGAATACTATCAGAACAATCCAAATTTTAGTCATTGTTGATAGTTTAATGACGAGCTATTTTGATCTGAAAAATGTAAAACTGTGTTAGTAAACAAAGTTAATTTAGAAATAATTTTCACATTACAAAAGTTGATTCTAAGCAAGGATATAATCCCCAAAAGTGAAATAAATCAGTGTCATGTAACTATTCAGTTCCTTTGCGTTTAGAGAAGAACCCTATTTCGCTGTGCCCAATTAGGTACTCAAGCGAAGTGGACGTAATCGTAGTTTTCTCAAAAGCATTTCGATAATGGGAAACGTGGAAACAATTTTAGAGAAGAGAAGATTCAGTCATGATGTAGATTCACATAATGAAACATCTTTATGAAGGTATTGTTATTGAGTACTGGTTTTTGCAATTTTTTAAAACGGTAAAGATAAATTAACTTTTTTAAAACACTTCGGTATTAAATTACACGTATAAATGCAGAAAGTAAAATAATTTTTTGATGGTTTTCCAGTGTAGCTATCTATATAAAGAGTATTTGTCCGTTTTATTACATTACACTTAGTTCTCCAGATTTCTCCCTCGTCGCAGAAATCTTTTTTTTTAGATGTATAGACACCAGCATAGCAGTTACCCAAAATGATGTTAGATCATGGATATAAAGTGACGATCTAAGACGAAAGAGGATAGTGCCTTTTTTAGTCTAACTGGCTTAGGACATCTGCCCGGATAGCAGAAGGTGCATGGACTGATTCCTTCGAAAAGTCTATCTTTTTCTTTCTGTCACTGTAACATGTCCTCCATCTGACCGGCTATGTAACTAATGGAACAAAGTGCATGTGACGCAGTGCAGGAGACAAGACGAACGGCCGCTATATAGAATTCTGAAAATCCCAAAATTTCGAAAGCTTGGTACTTGATAGGACAAGTATTTAAAAAATTGTAGATTACAGTATTTCAGAATCGGCCAACTACTGCTGGATCAGTTGCTCATCCAGATGTATTCTTAGCATGGATGACGCCGCCCGAATGCACTTTTCAGGGTTAATATGTTCAGTTAGACTAGTACGAAGATAAAGTTTAAGATGGGTATGTTAAAAAGTAACAATAATTGAACATCTTTAGCAACACTAATTGCTTGATAAATAAGAGACACAGCTCGTCGATTGGTATTAGCAGTTGAACGATATTTGGTTTGAAATTTATTTTGTCATCGGCATATATCTATTCAAAGATGCGATCGAAGGAGTCAGGTGTCTTTGTCTGAGCATTGGTCAAAAGTCGAAGAGGAAGCGTTGAACACAAAGTGACGCGATAATCAAATAAAGAGCTAGCTTATATGGTTCCTTCTTTATCATCACTCTAACCTTAAAGCTTCCCTTCATCCAACTTTTCACTCTCGCCCATACTCTTATCTTAAACTTGTCACCTGGTTTTCAATGATATCGCTACGATTTGAGGCAACTACTTCTTTGTCTTAATTTCGCTTTCGATGTTATTGTGTGAAGTGAATTACGGGTTCCTTTGCAACTCATTTTGAATGTTAGTCTGACATCCTTGTTAAGGGTTCCATTCTTCGCGCTCGCCTTGACATAGTTAAGTTCCATGGAAAAGACCTTGACCATGCTGAATGAATGATTGTTACTAAGTGCATTTGAAAAATTATTTGCAGCAGATAAAGTGCCAGTTGAATCGGTATATGAATTGCCTTTATTGCTTCGAATGACACTATTCAGACCTGTGAAAAGATTGAATAGGAAGAATGACTTGGCATTGATCGACAATGTTTTTTTTCTGAAAAATATAAAGTATTAGCTTACATGCTAGTTCATGTAGAGAAGATCAAAAGAAATCCAAGTCATCACACTCTAACAACTCATCTACAGCAATTATCAATCGTTGTCTCTTTACTCGTTTAGGGTCCTCTACTACGTTCAACCGTTTTAATCCTCTCAGTTTCTTCAGTACTTTCAGGTCAAGGCAGTGAAGGGAGTAGAGAGACTAAAATGAATAAATAGAATAAATGGAAAACGATTTAATGACTGTAGATGATTTGCTGGACTGGAATAACTTTAAGTTCTTGGGTACTTACATGGCTCGCGATTAGGTCGAGGGGAAAGAGGTTTCCCTCTACTGCTTTTTCTCCGAGTTTTCATTGTACTCCCGACATATTCATTCATAGTCAGGGATGTCCTAAAGTAGAAAAAAATTGGGGAACATGCCGACTTTTAGATAACTTTTAGGAAGTTTTGTACATTTTGTCAAAACTTCGAAATTTTTAGGAATGAAAGCTTATGAAAGCTTCACGGATATTTTAGAGGATTAAGAAAAAAACGCAAAAACTTTGTTGCCAACCTAATAGATGTAGTCATTGGAATTCCATGTGATTTTTTTGTCACCATCAGTGGGTCAGCATGCAAAGTTTAGGTATGGAAATTGACCGAGTAATTTTCTCAGAAGGAAAGAGGAACACATTCTTAATAAATAGTTTACACGACTCTACGCTTCTTTAGTGTTTGTATGAGTTACTAGTACACATAAAATCCTAGAATATGTTTCGACTCTAGCTATACTACTGGTAAACGTTTTAGATCCGATGATCCCCCAATGTCTTTGTTTCGAATATGTCACAGAAACTCTAGTCTATTTCGTCCGTCATCGATTAGTCAGACTTTTCATAGACCTATGTCCCTTAGTGCTTTCTTTCGATTGGTGAAAATCATACCTTAATAGTTTCTTTCGTTCTTGAATTACTCACAAAGTAGTGTAATACATTGTGTTTGAAACATACATTGAATAAGATAGTTCCTTCAATATGTGGACAATAGTTGTGCTTGTTTTTAGTAAGGTTAATTGTTATAGGATTGGAATCGGTAGCTCCGGACGTATTAGAATTGTTTTCTTCTTCTACTGATGCAGCGTTATTTATATATCATTGATTCTCTTCTGTACTTCCGTTTTAGATGAATTCCTATTACGTTGCTGGATTATCTTATAAACAAATTTTCCAACTTCCTAAATCATCGATTGTAATGTTATATATATGCATCGTATGAGGCATAGCGATAAAATTATCTTTTATGAACTTCATTTTTCGATGGATTCTTATTACACTGTTGGATTATCTTACAAACAAATTTTCCAACTTCCTAAATCATAGATTGTAATGTCATAAATAAGTCAGAAATCATACCAATAAAGATAACTACACAATCACACAATTTGATAGTGCCAGATAAGGGAGACTATAGTCATTAAAGATTGACCTTTCCTATGTTTCTTCCTCTTTGTCGGATATATATAAGAACCGAATAAGTAGAAACAAACTCTCAATACGACTTTGTGATTTGTATTTGTTTATTACAACCAAAAGCAGATTTTGAAGGTAAGGAATATCAATCTATCACACTTTCACTCTACGTAAGAGAGCTATGTTCGATTTCTGATCATGACAATGTCCTACTTTTGAAATCACTACTAAACAGGGTTTTTAAACAAACATTGGCACGATCACAGCCCATGGAATATCGATTCAAAAGAGGAAGAAAAGTTATTCACTGCTTCCGGATTAAATGTTAATGAATGATTAGATCTTCAGAGTCTGTCAAGTTAGATCATTTTCGCTTTTAATCAAAAAGTGACCTGAAACATTCTAAAAATTTGTCTTATCCCTCCTTGTTATTTCTGTACGAAAAGCAAACGGTATGACTTCTGTATCTTTGCCCGTAAGATGTATAGGTATTAAATATTTCAGTAGCGACATATTGGTATGTAGGCGCGATTTCTAGTGGTTAGAAAGGTATTTTTTGTGAAACACGATCTGAAAGGAGTGTTGAAGTGTTTAGGGGTAAAAATTTGGACCCACTCCCTCCCCACACCGACCGTGGCAGACAGGACTTTGGACCCATCACAGATCGTGGCAGACATAGTTCTGGACCCATCACAAACAGCACTAAGGGTCATTATAGACTGGGATAGAAGACTTCAAAGAAATATCAGAGATTATGCATAACTAATATATGATTGAACCATATATGGAGTATTATCCTGTTGAAAATTTGTAATATAAGGTAAACTATTATGAAGAAATGTACATCAGTATGTATAAAAAAACGAGAGCTTTGAGAACATCGGCTGTAGCAGCTATATCGTGTTTCACATTTTTAATCCCACAAGGAATTGTGCTAAGAGCTTTTCAGTTTGAGCTCAGTAAGTGGGTTTCCGTATCTTTTTAAGAGCTGCAACACTCTAAGAATGAGTCATGCAAACACAATTTTTTCATTCTCTCACTCGCTTCTCGCCGGAACTAAAAATATTTTGGAAATTATGTTAGCTTCTCTTTTGCCAAAGCCTCCTGCCCACTAAATGTTAATAGGCTGGAAGGAATCAAGAGAATCAAGATCTGTATTAGCTAGGTAAGCAGTGTTAGTAATCCTACTTTAACTTGTAACTTGATGTGATGGGCAAGGAAACATAAATCATGATGATGAATATGTATTTAATGATGTAATGCAACTGATCACAATAACAAAAATAATCCACTTAATAATAACAAAAGAATACATCAACTGCACTATATCAAAGAGAAAAACCAACTGAACTGGTGAAAGACTTGTTCATAAAGCTGAACCAAAGAGAGAGAGAAGGAGAGAAAAAAAGATATATATATATATTGTGTCTGGAAAACATCGAACCCTACATAGGTCACGCAAAGGAGAACAAAAGAATGAAAAAAATTAGCGACAACAATGAAATATCTATTGACGCTAACAAATTA